TATCTAAAAAAGTTAATTGAAAAAATGGGTCCTACTGTTTGCCACCTTCAGTTAAAGCAGCCCTGCTGTCCCTCATTCCCACCTGCACTGTGGCTGGTCACTGACCCCTGTGATGTCCCCATTTGTGCGCCTATATGGACATCTGAGGCCTGGAAGTGAGGCCTGTGTTCTCCATGGTGCCCTTCCTAGCTTAGGATAAGGATGGTGGGTTTGCTTTCTCCCTCACAGAAGCTGGCTCTGCTGATGTACCAAAGGGGACTGCAGTGTGTCTCCTGAAGACCCAGTCTGGGAAACAGGTTCATGGTCTATTATAAAGAGGATGTCAAACTGAAGGATTATGCCTATCAGAGAAAAAGATGGGTGTTTCCCTGAAGTGTTCTCAAGGAGGCCAAGGGTCTCAAGTTCCTTGTGGGGAAGCTATAGTTTCAAAGGGTAATCCAGAGAACCTCTTCAATAAGTGTGCTGAATTGACAGGCACTGGGCTTGCCTCTCAGGATTGGGTAGAGAGACTGTCATTCTCGGGATGTCTAGAGAGGCCCAGTGCCCTGTACTCAAGGCTGATTAAAATCTCCAGACTCACTGGTCTGGCAGATGTAGAGTTGCTGGGGTATTAGCTGGGTACACTCAGCTCCTCTGGGGATGGGTGTTCATATCTCATCTCTTGGCAGGGAATGTAGTGATCTGAGCATTTTCCTGGACCTTTCTTCCCAGGTTAACCTCAGTATCTCAGTACAGTGCACTGTAAGAACAGTTCAAGATCAGTAGCTGTAACAGGAGAGTTCTTGCTACTGTGGGGCAGAATGAAGCCCTTCAGTGTCCCAATGTTTTTCAGGCAACTGGTATTTTTTTTAAAAAAGTGCCTACTGTGTGTTTTACTTTCTGCTAGGGAAGGCAGTGAACCAGAAGCAATGTTAGGTCTGAAGCTGTCAGTCTCTGGCCAGCCTCTCTATAAAACAAAAGTGGTGACTGATAAGAAAGTTCAGCCTCTGATGAAGAGAGAAAAACCAGAGAAGCCCTTCTATTGATGCTGGTGCTGAATTTGGCACCAGCAAAATAAACTCCTGGTGGCAAAGGGACAAGATGCTGATAATGGCACCTGCCAAAGTCACAGCTGCACTGGTCAAATGAGCTTGGAGACAGACCTCAGGGGGGCTGGAGCCTTGATGATCATCAGTAGGCCGCAGCACTCTGCAGGCAGTTTATTGGAATTGGGTTGTGTGCCTTCCCCACCCCTCTGGGCTGGGTTCTCAGAACCATCAGAAATGCAGGTGGCACGTTGTGCTGAAAGGCCACTCTGAGCTGCCACTGGGAAGGAGTAGAGGCGACCAGAGAGCCCCCAGAAGCCACAAAGGGACTCCCGGTGAGGACACAGGGCAGAACACCCAAAACAAAGGAGGAGGAGCTCAGGAGAGGGAGTGGAAAGATGAATTTCCGACTTCATGCTTAGCATCACCTCTAGATAGTTTGGTTCCTGAGACACATCTTCCATAGAATGAGCATTTTGAGGGACATGGATGGATTGGAGGAGCACTAAATTTAGAGTGATAGGTGAAGAATGGCAGGGGACAGGACCCTGTGAAGTACTTAAACAGTAAAGGAAAAGGGAAGAGGGGAGGCCTTAATAATCACTAGGAAAGGGAACTGAATCAGCTGTATCTTAAGACACTGCCCCTTGGGAAATGAAATGCTTCACAGTGTCCGTGCCAGGGCAGAGGCAGTGGCAAACTCCAAGGATTTAAGACCTCTGCAGTGAGGTTATTCAGAGGTAACAGTTCTCATGAAGAATCCAAGACAACACTCAAGAAAAGCTACATTAAAGTTAAGAGGTGTCAGATACATATGTGAGATCCTAGCTCAGGTTAAGTGCAAAATTCAACTTCTAAGGGTGTTCAGCTACGTCCTCAGTTGTTTTACTTTAGAATTTTGAATAATAAAGTTCTTAGTCATCCAGATATTAGCTCTATCTTCCTTTCCATAAAAGACCACCACCCTGCCCCTCCATCTTTCAAGACTCTCTAGCAGTTTTGCTAGAAGAAAGCTCCTATTCTATCAGTAACAGGTATTAGCTCACTGCATGACCCACTGGCGGTGTCCTGCAGTTGCTCCATGGACCTTGATTTTATTTCACCTCTCCAAACCCTGTGAGCTCAGGGCAGATGGGCCTTCTGCTGTCACGGTGCCCAGGCTGGTGGTAATTCACTGCCATCTGTTGCTACTGTTTGTAGCGTTTCTCGCAAAGATGGGTCTCCCATGGTCTCATTTGCTTGAACAGAAAGCACAAGCAAGAAAGTCAGAGATTGCAGGGATATGAATCGAGGAGACTAGGAACAACATTCGAAAGACAGAATGTGACTTATTTAAGAACCCGTTGCCGGCCCACGCTTTATTGATTCATGTAAGTCTTGCATGTCTGACTACTTGAACAAAAACTTCTGTTCCAAATGAGGGCTCCTCTGAGGCCACTATTTTGTAAATAACTGAAATACATTTATGCTGGATTCTAAGAAAAGAATTTGCTAATTATATAAACTCCCGCTGCTCTTAGCATCTCTTTTCCCAATGACTCAAACGTCTTTCCACCTTCTCTCACTTTCTTAACTCAGCAAACGGAGTGTTTGGGAGTGTCTGATTTAGAAACAAGGAGACTCATGGGAAATGGGGTACAACTGGAAATGACCCATTGCACAGGCGGGATAGAAACAGCCTCCTAAAACATTAAACTCAGCAGCACTGGAACCCCTTCTTGTACTCTACTGGATGAACACAGAGACGTAAATCAAAAGACATTTCTAACTAGACGATAAAGAATTGCTTTAAAAATAAAATGGAAACCACCCTCCAATTACACTCTAGATACAGTTAGCTTTGCTTAATGAAGAATAACCTATGTAATTCTCAATGTCTACTTTTGCTATGAGAGGTTTGAAAAAAAACAGATGTGGAAAAATACTCGTCATCACTCTGAAACCTCCTGTGCATTTCTTCCCTTATGTGCTCGCTTTAAAAGACACTCAAACTTGTTCTGGTCAGGATCAAAACGGAATGAATGTGCTTCTACTCAGTGTGGCCATGTTGCCTTTTGTCTTCCTCATAAGCAGAGCAGGGCTAGGCTTGCTCTGAGAGCCATGCTCTATGTAGATGCAAGTTTCTTTGTGGTGGTGGCAAATTCAGTTTCCATGAGGTGTTTCGTCAAGGAACCAAACCTTGGCAAGCCATGCCTGTGTCTGTGACATGGGAATAAAAGGACAGAAGGACAGGAAGTAGTGAATCGCTTTTGCTTGTCAGTACTCCAAGAAATGAGTTCTGAGACAAATCACTTTGTTTCCAGCTCACTGTGTCAAGCTGAGATCACACTGAATGACAGGAATACTTACCTGACCTGGGTTTTAACAATCTCTCTAATGTGTTGTCCCTCAATAAGATACTTCCCACTGTTTATTTAATCAGCAACTTATTTTCAAACTGAAGATTTGGTAACTCTGATATGCTTTTATCTCTAAAAGAAAACGAGATTTTTGTTGGTGGCAGAGCTTTTCAAAGTTTAATTTGCATGTTCCATATCCATGAGTTGTTCACTGAAGGCCGCCCTTGTTAGCGCAGAGGGCTCCCGCTTCCTCTGTGGTTATCTGGAGCTAATTAGAGCTGCAGTATACTGCGGGAGTAATCGATAGCTTTCTACAGTAGATGACATCCAATCAGACCCATACGCAATTAGTCCAGTGTAGATACACAGAGATACCTTAATTAAAACAAAATATGCTCAGTAAGAGATGTGCTCCCATACATGACTGGCATTCCAAATGTTTTGACACAATGAATGTGTTTATTCAAAGTAAGAGTCTTTATGAACTTTTCACTGACCAGATAGTGCTGGATGTTAGACGCGTTTCCCTTGAAAACATTTTGATGTGAAAAATGGTGCTACCGAGTATCTTATATTTGTATTAACATCTGGATATAAATGTACTTCAAACACCAAAAAAGCTGAGAAGCGAGGTCTATCTCTTAGCATTTTGGGTTCTTCCCTAGGTAAGCCCATATTCTTCCAGGGCAAACCTTAGTGGGCAGACGGGATCACAGAACATCACTAGGGTTTCCACCTCTATCCCTCTGTGGGGGCGGGGGGGGGGAGCAAGCTCATGCTTCCAGTACCCCATGGAGGGAGACTCTCCTTAATTCACTTTGGGGGGAACATGGTTGTAGATCCTGAACCTGACCATCTAAACCAAACTTTAGACATGCACTTTAGGATCTTCCCAGTAGAGATGTGCAGCTATGAAAGCCAGATGTCGTATTGCAAGAGTCCTGTCCTGTTCTGTGTATCTGTGCTAACCACCTTCTCCCAGACCTCATGATGACCCTCCAGATCCACAAACCACTGTTCCTTTCTGCAGAATCACCGTCTATCATGAAGGTCATGGAACAAGAGGCAGGCAGATGCTTGATGGCTTTGAGATCAAACTGCTCTAAACAGTGGCCAAGACACTGCAGTCAGGAGTAAAAATATCCTGTGTGCCCTACTAGAGATCAACTTTGAAAGAGAAGGTATACTTTTGTTCCTTGTCCCCAGTTCCAATCAAAGCTACCTTTATCAGATAACATGAAAACCAAGGTACTGGGGTTGTGCCAGCTGCTGAGGGTGCCATCGGACTGTGGAACATTTATTAGTACCTGTTCCTCACATGAATGCACCCTTGCTTTTCAAGACATGAGAGAACACATGGGCTGACGGCTCTGCTCCCTCTGCTTGTCCACAGTAATGTGATGCCGAGCTTTCTGATAATGCATGGGGCTCCTCAGGGTTTTGCTTTTGAGAGCTGCATCTGTGAAGTTAATATTGGAGCTAGTGCTATTTATAAGAGGGAAACAAGCGGCATGTATTTGTATTAAACCATCAGTAAAAAAATGAGGATAATATCACTTTTGAAATGTAAAAAGCCAATAGTTGAAATCATTGACTAGCAAACCGTTTTTTTTTTTTTTTTTCTACAAGTAATCTCTTAGGTGTAAAGAGAATTAGTTCTTCATCAGCTATATTTGACTCTTGTTAGTTTAACAGCTTCTTGCTCAGGCCAGGCTCAAGAGTGTCAGTCAACGATCCAGGTACTATGTGAGGGCCACACCTACTCTCCCTCTCTATTGGACTAAAAGACAGAGACTACATTTGGCTGTGACACGTGTTTTCTGTTTTGTAGGAGCGCACAGAACTGTTTGCCGTACACTACGGTGGAGAAATACAGACAAAGGTGAACATCAGTACAAGCCTGTTTCTACAAAGTTCCCTCTGGATGACACCTTGTCATCCACATTAGGTTGCAGAGATGTCATCAGAAATCAAAGCCATTAAATAAGATACAGAAGAATCTTTAGAAATACCATCTTCTTCTCTAGCCAGTAGAGAGGCCAGAGTTTAAACTGTTAAAATCATCATCATCATCATCATCATCAAAAACATACCCTTAGTTTGCTTTACAGTCCAATTTACAAATGGTCCCCTTAAAATACAGCATGCCCCAAAGCCTTCTGAGTTTGAAATGTAGCCTGCAACACTCTTTCCACAGAAGCCCTGAAGGATCACAAGAAGCTTTCTTAAAAACAACAACACAAAGTTCCAGTTGGATGAAACCGTTTTTTCAACTGAGCTTCTAAAACTGAATTTTCAGATATACAAGAGGACAGGAAACAGATTACTTGGGTTTTTTTTTTTTGTTTTTTTGTTTTTTGTTCTCTCTCTCTATGTCTTTTCACATGTCCATAATGTTTTCTGAATGCAGCTACGATGTTTCCTCCACTGATACACATAATAGGGTGGACAGCGTGGTTACCACCAGGACCAGAAGTGGGCTCAGACCGCAGCTGGGAGGAGCAGCCATTGATTTTGTGGTTATGTGGCTGGAAGCACCAGCGATACCATCCTTTTCATAATCGCGCTGTAAGAAAGAATGTTTTCATTATCACCTACAGCTCCTACCCACTCCATCACATTACATTTTTCCCACACTCTCTCCCCAACTTCTTCACTCCCCAATGGCCAACCCTCTCAGGAAAACTGCCCAAGATCTAGCCACTGAGATTCAACTTGCTGACTTTTAGTTTTATGAGATGCGACTATTAACTTGGGTAAGACCCGGATCCTTTGGACTAACTGTTGGCCAAGGTTTTTGCTTGCTCCTCCACAGATTCCTTTTGAAGGAAACTGTTTAAGCATGGGGATTCCTGCCTTTATTTCTCTTTCCTTAGGCCACCTAGCAACTATGCTATCCTTCTCCTTTGCAGTAGCATTCACTGAGGAGGGCCACTTACCGGTTTCTTCTGACCAGGCAAGGCCAGCAGAAAGAATCATCTGGGAATGTGTAACTCATGGCGAGACAGATGGATTATAATGGATGCCAGGGACTGATAGCAGTTGAAGCCCTTCCCTGCAGCCCTGGCCAGTTCCACAGGAGGTTTCATAGCTGAGGAGTCCCACAGGGCCAAGAGCTTGTCCAGTCCTCAGTGTGGGACCTCAAGTCAGAACCCACACTGTAGTATCTGGCCAGCACAGTAAGCCTTCCCTATGGCAAATTCCTTATTACAACATCAGGCCTGTTCAGCCCTCTGATGCCACATTCTATCATGATGGAGGAGGATTACACACAACACACTTAGCTATCTCCTCTCTCTCAAATGAGGTTTGGGGGCCAGCTCCATCTCCCTGTGGATTGCTGTGAGGTCAGAGAAGCTGCAGGTCAAGACTGATGATTTCAGAATCAGAGTCTCTCAACATGTGAACAATGGACTTAGTACTGGTGCTGGCTTTCCTGGGAAAATCCTAAATGCATTTAGATCCAACGCTGTGTTGAGTCTTAATTCTGTACCTTGTTCCAAAGGCAAGTCTATGCAGAGAGTGATGAGACTTTCTAGACCCCAGACCTTACTGGTCTTCAAATCTTATACATCATACCCGCATCCCAAAGGCTATGTCTGTAAAGAGGCAAAGAAACACAAAATGTCACTTACATCAGAAAGACAGAGGTGTGTATTGCCTGACACATTGGATTTTAGCTTCTGCGCCTGGAGAGAGACAAAGAAAAAAAAACTCAGACATAATAGAGAAGAGTAATTACTTATGATCCATTAATCAATGGTCTAGGGCAGGGCAGCAGATAAATAAGAGAAACCACAACTGTGAGCCCTGTCTGTAATTTATAAAGAGCTAGCAGGTGAGGTTAATTTTAATTATATATTTTATTCAACCCACTGTATTATCATTTCAACATGTAATCAATATAAAAAATTAATGAGATACTGTGCATACTTTCTTCATGCTAGGCCTTTGGAATCTGGTGTCTGATATGGCACGTCTCCATTCAGACCTCCATTCAGACTATTTCAAAGCTCTGAACTACCTGTCACCAGTGGCCACCATGGGGGCAGCACAGGGCCTGGGCCACTGAGGAGTTTTTAAGTGGTAACTCATTTATCTTTCTGGATGTTCGTTTGGGAGAAGTGCTTTCTACTTTACTGTTATTATTTTTAACATTTTATTTATTATTTTTATTTTACATATGTGAGTGTATGCATACATGCAAGTACACCTGTGTTGTGCCATGCCCACAGAGGTCAGAAGAGGGTGTTAGATCCCCTGGAACTGGAGTTACGGACAGTTGTTAGCCACTATGTGGGTGCTGGGAATCGAACCTGGGTCCTCTGGAAAAGCACCCAGTACTCTTAACCGCTGAGTCATCTCTCCAGTTCCCCTGCTTTCTACTTTAAAAGATTGCAATAGAAATCCACATGTATTAGTAATACAGAGTCTCCTGGAAATATGTTTGCTTATTTGTTAACTCTACTCCAGTCAATGAACAGTGTGGCGTACCTCCTGTTTCCTAATGCTGGGCATGGGGAGAGGGAGCAGAAAGGATGTGCTCCTGGGCTCCTGGGCCTTCCTGCTTCCCAATAAACCACTCTCTGGCTGGGACTAAGACACAGGGCAGGGACTCTCAGATGGTTGCCTTTGAGGAACTGTGTAGTGATACAAACCCCAACACAGCAATTCAAAGACGGCTTCTAAGGTGGTTTTAGAGGGCTAAACAGTGAAGGCTTTCAGTTCCCCTTTCCCCTCGGCTAAACCAACCCCCATTGGGCTGATGCCTGAGGATTCAGTGGAAGGAAAGTTTCCGTTGCTCAGACAATTGTAACGAACGCACTGTAAGAACTACCCACCCAGTACAACGCTCTCATTTTACAAACTCAAACAATTAAGCCCAGAGAAGTTAAGTGACTTATCACACAGCGATGTGCTCACAGAACAAGGATACAACCAGGGCTCTTCAACTCTTAGATGAAAATACGCTCTTTCGTGCATCACAGTCTTTCCCTCAGTCTTTGTCCTCCTCCAAATCCACACAAAGAACTGTGTTCCCATGATACCCCACCCTCGCCCCTAATAATAGCAGCCCTTTGGCACCAACAGACAGCCTGTTTGCCAACAAGGCAAACCCTGGTAAATCAGCACCACCCCTGAATCAAGGATGACCTGAGCAGCCAGGCCTGGGGCATGGTGCTGGCAGGCTGCCTGCATGCTGGGGGCCTCTGTGACTCACTGAAGGCCTGCAAGGCCGAAATGGCAGCATGCTCATCCAAGGAGTAATTTGTTGACCATAATGCCACTTGGAAGGCATCATAATCTTTACCTATATTTGCATATGCCAGCCGTGAATATGAAATAGAAACCTTTAAGCAGGCTTCAAGAATGAGACACTGTGAAGCATCCCCGGGCTGTTCAAAGGTCACTAAATGTTATGTATAAGAAGATCAGAGGGGAAATTGGAAGCGGAATTGAACCGCACTCAAAAGCCCACTCTTAATCTCTATTAATAGTGAACCTGATACACTGCCTTGTTACCTACAGAGAATAATGTGTGGAGCTTCACGTTTTATTTCTATTCAAGGTTGGAATTGTGCCCAGACACCCAAATGGCCCTAAAACATTCCATTTTGCCTTTTCTTTTCTAGGCCATAATCAACAAAATACAAAAGTCCCTGCTGAGGGCCTTTGCATAACTAATGTATCACTAAATTGCTCAGAGAAGGCAACAGCACCGATAGACTGTGGTACAGTGTGACCTTAAGTTGTTCCTGTGCCCATGGTCACAGCTAAGCAGCACCTCAAAGGACCATGTTGGTCTGAGTTTTCAGGGTAGACAGTCTCCTCCCTACCTGCTCTGTGGAAGTAGCACCTGCGAGCCCTTATTTCCTTAGAATAACCTTAAATTAACCACAACCTATGGTTCTCAGCTGTACACCTGTCACTTTAGGAACCTGAGACAGCACCTGGGGAATGTCCCTATAAGGAAATGACTATGATGGGGGCTTTCAGCAGCTAACTGGAAAGGGCCACTGTCTTGCCATGTGTTCTCACGTGGCCTTCATGAGCATGGGTAGATTTCTGGGCCTCACACTAAATGAAGCATTTATAAGCTTTCCATTGGGTTAACATGCCCAGATCTAAATTGCCAACTCATGCCTCTGCTCAAAGAACAGTGCGGTGACTGTTTAATGGCACAGGAAAATGCATTCAGACCAGCTCCAAGTCTGTAACATCTCTGGGGGACTCATGCTCCCCCAATGCAGCATCCTATGGACAGTCACCTTGTGGCCTAGAGGACCATCATAGTGGATATAACTGCACAAACTGATGAATGCAAGAGAGAATGTGCAGCCAGACTGAACTAGGGTTGAGAAAGAGGCTTCATCCTGGTGGCCCTCTCAGCCCCAGCACTCAGAAGATTGTCTGTCCACAGGCCAAAACAGGCCTCTAAACCCTACTTCAAAAAACACTTAACAAACGTCCTGAAAAGCAGTCTGGTACTGGTAATGTCACCATGACTGCAAAGAAGGGTGAGTACAGCAATCCCGATTTGTCTACCCAAACCTAGCAGAGGCCGCTGTAAGGTGTGTGAGCTACCCATCACTCACTAGAAGGTGAAGGGCTACTGGAACGGCAGGTGACACATAAGTGAAAACATAAAAGACTGCACATAGATGTGAGTTGTTCTTAGGTGGGATCATGCCTAGCCTAGAGGGTATTAAATACGGATAATCATTGTCAGCGCCCGTAGCACAGGTGAGCAGCAGGTGGAAGGGGAGAACTGGGCTTCACAGAAATGTACATAGGCTGGTTGCATGCTTAGAAGTCTTGTACACAGCATGAATCCCAAGGACCATGGAGGACCAGAAACCTACCATTGTAGATCCAGTCTACTTAAGAAAAATCCCTAGGTCTTAAAGCTTGCTTTAGAGGCCTGAGAAACCTGTTATTTCTAGATTTTGAGACATTTCTTGAATTAAAAAAAAAAAAAAATCAAGCAATCCCTGTCTTGCTACTCAGGTGTGATATATGCATCAGATAAAATTACACCTACTCAGCTACTGCAGAATACTTACATACTCCCCAAAACTGAAAATTGGGATGGTACCAAGGAAACTGAAAGGCAAACAAACAATGCTCACAAAAGGACAGGACTTCTGAGACTTTGTAGGGAATGAGATAAGTCTGAAATGGGGAGAGCAGCTTTCATCCCTTAAGTAAAACCTGGTAAAGCCAAGACCTTGATAATGGATATGCTGACATAGACCTAAGGCCTCGCAGCATGAGCCACCGACCGCTGCTAGAACCTACATGAATCTCTAGCCCCCAGCCCCTGCTAGAACCTTCTAATCTCTGGCTTTCAAATCAGATATATCTTTTAAAAAACAAACTATGAAAAGGGCTGGAGAGACGGTTCAGTGGTTAAGAGCACTGACTGTTCTTCCAAAGGACCTGGGTTTGGTTCCCAACACCCATATGGTGGCTAACGACCATCTACCATCCATAACTTGAGTTCTGGGGATCCAACACACTCTTCTGCCCTCCATGGGTTTGCATACACAGGTGCATTCACATACATGCAGGCCAAACACTTGTACACATAAAATTTTAAAAGAACAATGATGAAAAGAAAAATCTATTGTTTTCCTTTAAAAATTTTTTTTATTATTTTTAATTTATGTGTATGGGTGTATTGCCTGCATATATGTAAGTGCACCCATGTGGCACAATGCCACAGGAGGTCAGAAGAGGGGGTTGGGTCCCCTGGAACTGGAGTTACAGTTACAGACAGTTGTTAGTCACCATGTGGGTGCTGGGAACTGAATCTGGGTCCTCTGCAAGAGTAGCCAGTGCTCTTAACCGCTAAGCCATCTCTCCAGCCCTAATTCTGTTTTTTTTAACAGTTAATTTGAACCATTATTATGGTAGATTGAAAAAATGAATTGTTTAATGTCTTTTATGAAAGCATGTTTTCCATCAGCTAATTCATAGTCCTGTGGTTTGGGGAAAGCTTCCTGACTCTGCTTTGTGGGAGACATCACCACCAAGACAGGAGTATTTCATCTCAAGGATAGAAAAAGGCAAAGTGTACTGAAAAAGCCTTCCCCACATTCTGGAAAACTACAGAAATGTGTCCTTTAGGCTTTCCGTAAGCCCTGTCCCTCCAGCAGCTATTAGGAAATTGTCCCTGGAGGTAATCGACAAGTCCAGGCATGTTGCATAATAGAATTTCCAGGGTACTGTAATTGGGACGCCAGACCTCACCAATCCCTGGCACCAGAGGGTTAATAAATGTATTAGATGCTGTTAACCTCTGTTACCTGGAGTCAGAACGGGCCTCTCTGCCTTTTACCCCAGCCATCAGCATTTGGAAAGCCAGTCTTGGTGCCAGCAGCACTCCTCTGCAGAATGCACATAATTTATAGCTTGCAGTGGGATCCCCACCTGCTTCTGCCCACAGTAGGCTCTGCAGGGCCTTGGGGACAGTTCAGGTTAGTGAACACATGTTTGGTCTGTTTATGAAAATGGAGAGTTAAAAGTGTGCCTGTGCGGAGCCTGGCCTTTACTGCCCCAGGACTCCATTTCTGTAGAAAAGCCAGTGTTTAATCTCGGCTTTTTAGGCAGCTGTCAGACAACGGGGCATGGAATGTTTCTCTACTCTCCTCCATGCAGGAGAAAAAGCATTCGCTGCTCTCCCTCC